GGAATAAATGGAAGTGCCTCTGAGGAGAGGATCTGTTCGAGGAGGCCAAATGAATCTGCATGAATGTTTCACATAGATTTCAGCTTTGGTGAACCTTGACGGGTGAATTTGCACCATTGACCAATTGCAAGCTGTCTAACAGAGCTGACCTTTGAGAGGAAGAAGAGCCGAAGAGTCCAAAATAGAGGAAGCTATTGAGTTTAGTAGCTGCTTTGCACCATTTACTTTAAATAAACCTCTGCTGGAGTAAAAATGGTTCCACAAAAGAGACATGATTACACGTTAACTGTGTGTTTAATAAGCATGATAGCTCAGAGAGCTTTATTTTCTGTGTTTAATAACCTTTTATTGGCCAGAAAGGTGTGCAGTGGTGAGCAAAATTGCATGGGGAAGTAAATAGAACAGTAGAGAGAAGATAGAGAGAAGCTCCAGGAGCTTTTGTGACAGTCTAGTGCTAGCTCAGCTCACTTGTTGTGAGTCAGAACCCAGGGCTTGAAATCAACATTTTCCCTCAGTGTCCTGCAACCCTCCCGAATTACACTTTCAACTGTCCCAGACTTAACAACCATTATACTGAAATTGAAGTTGTTAGAACTCGCATCACTTCATTGACTCATATCATTGCTTTTTAGAAATTAAGTTGCTAGGAGGGTCCAAAAGGTTGCATAATCTAGCAAGAAAATTAACACTTTGGCAACACTCGAACACTTGATTTTGCATGTAAGCGCACATGTGACATAGCATAGAGCTCGTGCTGGCTCCTGCACACATTTTTTTTAAATTTGAACAACTGACAATAAAAATGAAATCTGTTCACTCACCATCCTCACACAAACGGACAAAGCTTGAGTAGTTTTGCAAAGGAGAAAATGGGATGAATATTTTCTATGGACACTGTAATAACAGTATTCCATGTCACATTACTGAAACAGCAATATCAGTTTTTACCAATGATTTACTGTGTTATTAATAATGGAAATGACGGTTAAGGTTAAGCCATTAGTACTGATCAAAAACAAAACAGATAATGGGATAATGGAGCATCGGACATTCAGTGGTTTGGATTATCTTGCATTTCATTATTGATAAACAGTACTGAACTAATGAGTATCATCTCTGGTTTGTATTATTGCTACATTACATTTAATATGTAGCAACAGTAAAACTTTAGCAAAAAAGGGCAATGACCTGACGAAAAAATATTGAGATACCTAAAAATTCCCAGGCATGTTTTCATGTGCATTTGAAAACTGAAACAGAACAAACATCCATAAGAGCGTACTATTTTAACTCTAGTAGGGTTGGTATGATGATATGGACCAGATGAAACGGCACAATGTGAGCACTGTAAGTTCTCTTCTGCATTATGTATAGCTGAATGGTTTAAGGCAGACATCAGACAGATGTTTACAACCACAGCTGTTGTTTGCAATGGTTCGATGGCCTAGTGATACAGTGCATAAAATCTGCCTACACTTTAATTTTACAGAGAACTGCAGAGCAAAGAACTTCCTTTTTTATGAGGCTGACCTATTTTAAAGCAAAGTGATTTCATACATGTTTTAATGGGGGTGTTCTGGTCAAAAAATAAGAGTAAGGAGGGAGAAACAAGCAAAGGAGGGCTAATTACGAATTGCAACTACCAACTAAATAGGTAATTAAGGTGGCATCATTATAAAAGTACAACCCAAAGGCACTAAAATCTGCACTACTGCAAAACAACAAGAAACTGCAGTAGGGTGTTGGGTATGGATAGAAGACCAAATGCAAACCAGGAGGGTCCATTAGACAGCCTATCAAATGTGATGACAGGTTGCAGTTGTTTAATTCCTAAAGATTTTTAAAACGTCAAGCATTAGTTTAGTTTAGAGTCAGATCAAAAATCTGCCATATATCAATAAAACATAAATTGGTTTGATGGCTGTTATCAAAACATACCATCAAAACAACATAAAGGGAGGTCAATCTGTGACAGTGTAGCATTGCATCAGTATCTGCCCTTTAGTTCATGTTGATTCCCCCCTCCCCCATCTAAACTGTTGATATAACTGTATAATATTGTTGTAAATCCACCATGAATGTGGTGAAGAACATTTATGTTAATATTTGAACATACCTGTACTCATAGATACAGTATCACTCAAACAAACTGAAAAAAGAAAACTACTAAAACTGGAATATAAAACTATAACTAACTATAAAGTACTCTGTGGGCATTTATATTTGATAAAACTGAGTCATTGTCACTGAAGTCATTATCAGTAAAAATCTAAATGAGTACTATCAGAAATCAGTGTTTCAGTGTTTTTCATCCTCCCCAGTGGACAGATACACCTGTAAAAAGCAAGTTTCAGACCTCTGCCTTACATCACTGGGATTTTTCAGGTAGAAACGTACTCACTGAACTCAGCACACACTGGATGGCATGAACACACACCTACATGTACCACACATTCATACACGCTCAGCATGATTGCAGCAATAGCATTAGAGAGCCCAATGAAGACTTATTCAATGCTTCTGTTTCATGTACCTGAGCACACAAATACACAGACGCACACGAGATAATAGGATCTCATCCAGCTTCTGTCGTCCCCATGTGCCCTTTAATACAGAAGAAAACAAGTGGGCCACTTAGCAGTATATATGTGACCACCTACACGCATGTCACTGAGCCTTCTGATTGGACGTGGGTCAGTGCTTACTAAAAATGACTGGGCCAGAGAGCCACACACACACACACACACACACACACACACACACACACACACACACACACACACACACACACACACACACACACACACACACACACACACACACACACACACAGAAAGACAAGTGCTTGTGTGTGGCACACAAACAAGCCGACCATCTGATTGGCTCTGCGCTCTATACATCACTGCGTATCTGAGCCACAGGTGACTGGGGAAGGGTGTGTGTTGCCGTGGCAACACAAAGCAAGGGGCGGGAACAATTTATGGCACTATGATGTGAGGAGACTATCAATGATGGAGGGTAATACATGTGTGACTCCCTCTGAATGACTGAAAGGGGGAGGGAGAGGACAGAGGGTGTCTGAGGTGAGTCGTTTTCGTTGGTGAACATCCATCTTTTTCTCTTTCTCTCTACCTCCCACCTTTAACCTGTCATCTCTCCATCACTTTCTACTCTTTCTTTACACTACTTTCTTTCTCCCATGTCTTTCTACTTTGTCAAAAAAGGAACACAATGTGGCCACGTTACCAAAGTCCTGCATTATGTAAGTTTATTTCAAAGCACAGAGTTAATATGCAGCTGTGCTGTGCTATGCATTATCTCAATGCAGGGATCTCATCAATCATCTTTTGACTAGGTCAAGCTGTTCCACATTTAAAGTAATTGAACACAGATCACAATGCTAAGATGATTTATCAAATCTAGGCCATGTTTCTTCTTTTTGCCCCCTGTTGGGTGTCCTGATGTCCTTATTGGACTGACAGTTAAAACGTCCACGTGTCCAAGAAAAACTGTTTTGGTGCGTGATGCAGGTTTATCCAATCTGAAATGATGGGCATCAGAGTTTCCTACATATGATACCTTCCATTGCAGCTGCAAACAGTCCATTACTTTGGCAGTTATGAGGACAACAGCAACTGAGCAACTAGAAAGGGATACAAACCAGGTCAGTATATATCCCATATACAGTCTTTATACACAATTATATAAACCCTACTTAACTGAATTACTATCATTAACTAAATAATCACCCATAAAATACAGAAACAACATTAAACATTTAAGAATTACAAAAAGTTATGGCACCAGTGGAGAAGTCAGGGATCACCAAAGTTGGTATGACTCATCCTCAATGGACCATGTATGTCAATCCATCCAATAATCGTCCATTTCAGTCTGAACCTTACAGCAACGCTGCTAGCATGACTAAAAACATTAACATTTCATAAGCATTGCCCCACCTTGTTCATTACTCTATTAAATTACCTCTCCAAAGTATTACAGTCAGTATTCAGTAAGTTATTTTGTCAGTGTCTATCTTGCAGTAACTAGTCAACTTGAACACTAAATCTGCCCCCAACAAAGCGAGAGAGTTTCGCAGCCACTATAGTCTCTCCTATACACTTCACAGCCCTTTCTTATTCCCAGTTTGTCAAATACAGACATACGTATCTTTAAGTATGTGCAACAGTGCTCAATGTTCTCTTCATATTTTTTTTTTCTTTGTTAAGTGTGAGTTAGTGTTTGAGATCTAGACCTGGGATTGGTTATCCAACTTTCAACTTAAGTAATTGGTACAAGAAAAACAACCAGCCTTCTCTTTCAGACAGAGGATAATGTGCAGAGAGTAGTCAAAAATAAAAAGAAACAACACCTCAGTTTTAATAAAGCATTTGAAAATGCATGGCATACATTTGAGAGCAGAGAGTTGCTTGATGTTGATGGCAGGGATACCACTGGAACATGCAATCCAGTATTTCAGTAAAAACCAAAAATGACAACCTTCACATACAGCGGTACTCTCTCAAACATATGCGCTCCAAGGTACTGAAATTCCAATTGATTTAACGTGAATCGGTACTTGATAGTACTGGCATAATTTGGTTGTAGTAGTTCGAAACCCAAACTTAATCACCAAAGCCATTAAGATACATCCTCCGGGAACCAAGGGTGTCTGTACAAAATGTATTGGCAATCAAATGTATGCTATTGTAGGGGGGTTCAGATTCACTGAATGACCTTTACTGCAAAGCGCCTTTTTCCATCTCTCTTAATCTCCTGTCTGTCTCCACTCTGGATCATCTAATAAGGCAGAAATGCCATTTAAATGTCAGTTAGTGATAAGTCTAAATGAAAAGATAAGAAATGAAAAAATATGAAAGTGTGCTTGTATTCATTGGTATACAATGTAACCCAGCCTCTTGTAACTGAGCGGAAGGAAAGAAGAGAGAACAAAGCATGCTAATAAACATAGCATAGAAAATAAGGAAAAAAAAACTCACCGCTGCATTCTTCTCTTTCCTTTTAATGCTTTTTTCCCTCTCCGCTGTCACACAATATGAATCTTCTGTGGAGTTAAATCTGCCAGGAAGTTCTTTACTCTCAGTGGACTTGCCTCCAGAGTGAGAAAAGCCGGTGAGGCCCCCAAGAACTTCTCCCGCTCCGTGTGTGGCTCTAACTCCTCTGGAAGCGTCACGAGGTGAGGAGGAAGCCTTAAGGCAGGAGAAACGTCTGAGTCTCTTCTGTGATCTCCCAAGGCCTCTTGGGCAATTGCTGATTTATGCTACCGCATAGATAGATCGTGAAGGTTGAGTGTGATGTGACTTCGCTAAGAGGCAAATGAAGTGAAGTTTTCCTGCCAGGCAATACTCCTGAGTCGCTCTCTCTCGCTCTCTCTCTCTCTCTCCCTCTCTTTGCTTCTTCGTAGGCCTCCCTGGCTACTGTTGCTATACCCCCGCCTCTAAGGCAAATGGAAGATGCTGAAGTGAGTTGTCCACTGGGTAGTTTGAAGCACCAGTCTAGCGAGCATGTGTAACCTGCTGGGTGGAATGAAGCACCAGGATAGTGAATGCTGTTGATGCAAAGTTCCCTTCTGTTGACTGTATATGTAGAAGTTGTGTCTGCTGAGGTATAAAGTTGACTGCCTGGTGTATTGTACAGAAGGGTGAGGTTATTGTGAGTGTGTGGCAATATGATCCTTTACCTTCCCGTAAGAACTAGCCCAAGTTCCACTGGGGCTACAAGTTGTGGATCAGTAGAATTTAGGCAGCGAGCAGGTCTGAGCTGGCAGGTGGTAGGAGGTCCAAGGTCATTGCTTGTCGTCACGGTTGCAGTGAAGAGAGCTTGAGAGGCGATACAGGTTGTCACGGTAACAGCAGTAAGAGGTCACAGGTGTGTCTTTTGCTCTGTGTTCCAGTCACTGGGTCGGCTGATTCGGTGGAGGAGGTAGGCAGTGGGAGAGAATCCCTGAGGTAAATGGAGAAATGTTGCACGAAGAGAAGGAAAAGAGGAACTGATAACGGACAGCAGGTTGTTCTTTTCCTTTTCTAGTTTTCTGGGAGGTAGACAGCAGAGGAGGTTTTGTCTGAGTGGATTAGAGCAAGAGGAGAGGACGGAGGGAGGTAAAACTGTGGTATATCAATCTTGAGTAAATTCTTTTGTCTTATGTCGTTTGAAAAAGAACGCTGGTGGTTTTCCAGTGTCCATCTGAAAGAGTCGATGCTCGGCTCTGCCTCCTAACATGTACAGGTAGGTTTCTTCAGGCACTCCACCTACGGAAGACAAAACATAAAGACAGGTTAGAATATGACCACAGTAGCATTATTTTTACTATTATTATCTGAATAAGTTTTATAGTCTTATAAATAAGGACCCAGGTGATTAAAACTGAATTACCCTTATATGTGAATGTATATGTGCAATTTTCTGTTTATGTGATTGTCATGTGATGAGCTGGGACCCAGTGCATGCTGGGATTCTCATCATTCCCCAGTAAATATACAGATATTGCTTCTTGTTGATAGCTCTGTAGTAACAATAACATTTAGTATATGTTCATAGAAAAATAAGGTCAAATACAAGGCGACGCAATCCCCGGTCTCCCAAGCAAAGACATTGGATGGAAGGGAAGCAGAGACTTAAACAGTCCTCTGTCTCATATTCTGACTCATGAGGGGGCTGGGCTTTGTTCTTAACCTGTGTAATTTGGTTGGACACTTCCAAATGACATCACTATCATAGAGGTGCTTTTTCTTCAGTAATTACAGTGCATTATATGTGGCAATGTACTGTCTCAATCATGAAAATACTCCAAAGTGGTTGCAATTACATACACTGCATACTGATGTAAGATGTGTTCTGACGTGTTGTCAAAAACACTGCAAGAGAGCTCGGTGGGGGCTGAGTAAGCTACAGAGGGAAAGAGCAGTGAATCAGAGAAATACAACTGTGTTTTGTGATTGTTTCACAGCGGTTTCGTTGTAAAGCACAAATACATAGGGCCAGACCTCCGCGCAACCCAGCAGGAAGGAGCCAGAGACCAGAGGAGCTGGGCGGGACGTACCCTGCTCGCTGCGATTTTATAGTTAGTTTCGACCTGCGCAACATTTGAATGTTGATTTAGAACTAGGAACGTAAAGATATATCGTGAGACACTTAAATCACAATACAAAAATGTGAAGATTGGTAAGATGAAAAAAAATCATGGCGAAAAGAGTTTCACTTCACAAAATTAAATATGCATTGCTCAAGGATTATATAATTTAATAAAGAAAATATATATATATTTTTTCTAATAAAATCTACATCAACTATTCGGTACAGTCCTACAAAGTAGAGCTTTGCTTCTCTGTTCGAACCCAAAACTGCTGCCGTAGGTCGGGCTCGGTTCGGGCTCAGAAACAATTAAATGTAAAAATATATATTTATTAATTATGCATGCAACTATAATTAATACGTGGATTTGTTATTGATTAGTTTTGATAATCATTTTGTACAATATTACATGCACAATGTACTTAAGTCTGTAATACATTTTTTTAAGCAGAAATTTGGATTCGGGTCGGGCCCAAAACTGCTTCTGTGGTTGAGTTTTTTGAAGCTCAGGTCGATCAAAGCTCTACAACAAATCAACAAAAGCATAGGGTTCATTCTGCAATGACAGAAGCTAAAGTACTTGTTCAGAATGCAAAGCAGCTACTGGGTAGAAAATCTATTGTCGGCAACCCACATTTGAATTCACACAATGCACCGACACATACACACACATTGCCTGTTAATCTTCCTCCATCTGTGCAAGCTGCTCTTGGGTTGGGTCTCTGTCACATACACCTACATCTCAGAGTGTGACTCTCTTTCTCATATAGAAAACACACGATTGATTCATAAGACACACACACACACACACACACACACACACACACACACACACACACACACAGTTGGAGGCTCCACTGCACTGTAAATGGTGACGACTGAAGCAAACCTGAGAGTTGAGGTCTGTCCTCCACTTAAGGTACATTTTTAACACAGTCCGCCTTTTTATCTGAATACTCTCTATCTGTGTGACTAAGCCTCAAGCACTCTTAACATTGTCAGCACCACTTGCCCATACATTAACAGTGAAAAGGACAGGCAGATACACAAAGGTTTACACACTCAAATATTCAATTAAACTGAGATGTGCACCAGGCGCGGGTTTACAAACTTTTAAATATGGGGGGACAAAGCTGGGCTACTGATTCAAATATGATTCATATTTAAAAAATGCTATTTGTGTCTCTTTATAGTTTTAGTGGTAGTCTTGTGTATCTTTATGGTTCTTTTGTGCCTCTTTATAGTTGGTTTGTGTCACTATGTGGTCTTTTGATTTTCCACCATGAAACGTTAACAGCCTCTTCATACAGGGGCTAATTGTACAGGCTTGTACCCCATAGACCTTCTCAGTAATTCATCCACTAACCCTAACCTTAACCCATCCATGATACTGAACGGCCAACAATCTAGCACCTTCTGACTCTTGTTGGGAGGGCGCCAGGCGAGAGCTGTGTATTTCCTGTACAGTAAGTAGAGGCTTACGCACTACACCAAAGGCACCACAATAAGTCTCTTCCTTCTAACATACAGGAGCCTCTCAGGCAAACAAATGAGACTTCAGCGGAGGGGCTAATTAAGCGGCAGCAGGAAACGCCAAGCAAAAGAGACATCAAGATTAATCTTCTGAAGGCAGGCTGTTTCGTACAATATGTATGATTCTGTAAGCAGGAGGGAAAAAAAGACTTCCCTCCCCCACCAGTTACAGTGACAGATGTACAGTACAGGCTACTATCAGTATCTATCCAGAAATACAGTACGAGTGTCAGCATGCAACAGAAACCTCGAGTGTACGGCTGGTTGCCTGCCAAACTAGCTGTGAACGAATGGGGGGAATAAAGGACCATCCGTCGCCAAAATTAACAACCATTTGGCTGTTGGAAAGAGAGAGAAACAGATAAAGTGGATGAAAACCAGAACAAGGGAGGAGAGGGAGTGACCTGGTGTCTCAGCTGTCTTATAGATGTACGATGCAAATGATCCAGGGCCCGACATTCCATATTCTTTTCAAATATGTACTCTCTGTCTCTGAATTAAGACACTCAAGTGTAAGGCTGACTATTTTCAGTATTTTTCCAAATTGAAAAAAAAATAAATAAATAAATGACAAGAGCAAAACCACCAGTGAATTGATCCAGCAAGCGTGTGCGTAATGTATTATTCCTCTGTGCCATAGAGCTCCACAGTTGTCGAAAAACTATTAAATCAATTATTTCAATCAGTGAGCCACACTGTTCAGTGGGTGAATGTGGGCATTAGGGGAAGGCAACTGAAAATCTATCACAGTAAATGCACTTTCATATCACAACATAACCATATATAATGGTGTGATACATTTTTAGAAGGAAAAGAACAAAACAAACAAAAAGACATTGCTAGTTGGTGAAATAACAAGGCAAGTCTTTTTTCGACCGTGCTAGTGGCATGGCTCTATGGATGGAGTTCTGTCGGTCCACCATTATCATGAACTTTACTACAGACATTTCTACCTCAGAATTAAGTGTAAAAGCTTTCTTGCCTAGGCTTCAATCTATGTGTTTGTGGCTGGGACAGTGGTACTGGGCCAATCGGTGTCCTTTGAGGAATTACTGGAAAATACAGGGGTTGGTGACGCAGAAGAAGATGTGTTCGTTGAACAACAATGGTGGCTCCCATAGAGGTTAGGGTTTAGCGCCACTCCACGCCAAAGTAGCCTAACAGTATTTTTCTGTCACACATACATACACTACCACTCAAATGACCTTATTTTTGAAAGAAAGCACAATTTTATTAAAATTAAAACAATATTAAATTGACCATACAGTCTAGACATTGTTAATGTGGTTAATGACTATTAAAGCTGGAAAAGGCTGATTTTTTTATGGAATATATATGTAGGCGTACAGGGGCCCACAGTTATTGTGTTGAAAGGCTAATTGATCCTTAGAAAACACCTGTGCAATTATGTTAGCACAGCTGAAAACTGTTTTGCTGATTTGAGAAGCAATAAAATGAGCCTTCCTTAGGCTAGTTGAGTATCTAGAGCATCAGCATTTGTGGGTCTATTTTTGTTCTCAGAAATGACGGCTATTTCATGCGAGAGATTGCCAAGAAACTGAAGATCTCATACAACGGTGTGTACTACTCCCCTCACAGAAGAGCACAAACTGGCTCTAACAGGTTTGAGGTGTTTGGATCACAAAAAATTTGTGAGATGCAGAACAAATGAAAAGATGCTGGAGGAGTGCTTGACGGCATCTGCCAAGAATGGTGAAGGAAATGTGATGGTCTGGGGATGCTTTAGTGCTGGTAAAGTTGGAGATTTGTACAAGGTAAAATGGATTTTGAATAAGGAAGGCTATCACTCTATTTTGCAATGCCATGCCATTCCCTCTCGACTGCGCTTAATTAGAGCTAATTTCCTCCTACAACAGGACGATGACCCAAAGCACAGCTCCAAACTATGCAGGCACTATTTAGGGAAGAAGCAGTCAGCTGGCATTCTGTAATGGAGTGGCGACCACATCTCAACCCTATTGAGCTGTTGTGGGAGCAGCTAGACCGTATGGTACGTAAGAAGTGCCTATCAAGCCAATCCAACTTGTGGGAGGTGCTTCAGGAAGCATGGGATGAGATTTTCTCCAGATTTCCTCAACAAATTGACAGCTAGAATTCCAAAGGTCTGCAAGGCTGTAATTTCTGCAATAGGAGTCTTTGATGAAAGCAAAGTTTGAAGAACAAAATTATTATTTCAAGTAAAAATCATTATTTCTACCCTTGTCAATGTCTTTACTTATTATTGATTCATTTTGTAACTCATTTCATGAATTAAACAGTTTGTTTTCATGGAAAACATGACACTTTTGAGCGGTAGTGTACATTACATACATATGGAGGAACAATATCCACAAATGTGTATTAATCTGTGACGGCGTCACTAACAAATGCACTATTTACTCCTGTTTGAGTAATGTTTACTAAAAACCACAGTGCCCAGCTGTTTCAGGAGTATATTTATATATGGCATTTATTTTTCCAAAAATTACAGATTTTTTAGCATATTAGAGGTGTAACGATTAATGGAGAAAATAGCAGACACAATAATGGATAATAAAAATAATCACTAGTTGCAGCTTTAAATGACTTAAAGCTGCAACTATATAAATGGAACTATGTATTTGTGGAATATTTTCAAAGATCT